ATTTTGTCAAAATGAATTGTTTTCCAGTTACATTTAGGATTGATTTCTGTTATTTATTTATAATAATAATAATAATAATCATTATTTTTATAAAAACTATAAATATTTTTAATAATTTCAATTTAGTTTTTTTTCCATATTTTACTCAAAGTTTGGTTAGGTGGGATGGTCCCGTCTCTCTCTACAGCAGTAGCAGTGACATCGGTCTGAGGGTTTGTGTTTTTACTGCGGAGGAGCTGGGCACATCGTGGCATCATGCCCTTTAAAAGCCTCCACCCATCAATAGGTAAGAGGTTACTGATGGGTAGGGGTATAATAATTGTTTCTTCGTTGTACCGCGATGCATAAGCTGACAATTTGGTATCGGTTCAGTAATAATCATAAACTGTTATGTACTAACGTAATTTATATCATAAGCGCTATTCCGCCGCAAGTATTTACACTGCAAAATTTCACTTCGTGTATGCTTGCTGGACAATCTTTTACTAACACAGCATAAGCCCCTATGTCACTGTGATTGAGAGAATGAAAGTAAACTCCATTTCTCTCTTACTCACAGTGGCCCATTTGACCTGCTTGCGTGATGTTTCCTCTCCTCTTGGCTGTTACAGCGATATTTCTGGATACAGACATGAGCGCACGTCTACAAGGTTTTCTCCACCGTGTCTATCATGAATAAATTGTGATCGCCATTTCTGTTATCAGTGTCACTCATCTCTTAAAATAGCGGCAGCGCGTAAGAGTCAATCGCAATCCTTTCTGTTGAGCGAGTAACCAATCAAAGGGGTGTAAGAAAGAACTTTCTAGACAAGGCTAAGAAAGCGAGCGGGATATTTATATTTGTTTATTTGCTATAAATGCTTGTGTTGTTTAAAGGCACAGTTTATATAGATGACTGTATTAAAGGACAACATTGTATTACAAATAGTACATAAATATAAATATATTTATATATTTTAATACATTAATTGCTTTGCTGTGAAGAAAATATAAAATTGTATGGAAAGCATGAATATACTGTGATGCACCGAGATATCGAATTGAACCAAATCGATTGCAAGATAATCAAGACCGAACTAAACCGTGAGACTAGTGTAGGTTCACACAGTCGATTGTTCATGCCAGAAGAGGTACGGTCTGACGTAATTTGATGTGATAATCTTCCAAAGTGCCTTGTCATCCGGATGTGAGTCACACTTTATTCCTTGTTAAACAGCGATTCTGTTGGCCAGCTATGGCTTGGGATATTCGGGAGTTTGTTTTGGCTTGCTGTGTTTGCACTATTTCAAAGACTTCCAGTCACCATCCCGCTGGGCTCCTTTAGCCGCTGTCTGTACCATCAAGACCCTGGTCACACATATCACTAGATTTTGTCTCGGGACTCCTGCCATCCAGTGGCAATACGGTTGTTTTGACCTTAGTAGACAGGTTTATTGGTGGCCATTTTACGTTTTTCCTCTGGTTTTTAACCTCAGAGTAACAAACAAACAGAGAAAGCTAACCAAGATCTTGAACGTATGTTGCAATGTTCCTCCTGGAGTCAGCTGCTCTCATGATTTAATTTAGTACATAACACATTACCAGTGTCAGCCACGGGCCTTCCTCTGTTTGATTGTAGTTTGGGGTACCAGCCACCTGTCTTTCCCAGTCTGGAATCCGAAGTCGCGGTTCTCTCCACCCACGCCTTTGTTCAGAGTTGTCAATGCACTTAGATCAAAGCCAGACAGACCCTCATCAAAGTGGGTGCGCACACTAATGCTAAAACCAATCCCCACTGGTCTAAGCCTCCCGATTATGTTGTTGGTCAAAAAGTGTGGCTTTCATCTAAGAATATTCCTCTCTGCTTCGTCTGTAATAAGCTCGCTCCTAAATTTATTGGCCCATTTACTGTTACTAAAATGATCAGTCCAGTGGCTGTTGGCCTCAAACTTCCTCCCGTGTACATAAGAATTTATCCTGTATTTCATGTTTCTAAAATGAAGCCCGTTTTTCGTATGGCTATTAATCTGCCTACTCTGGGCACCCCAGGAGGTGCTCCTACAGGAGGGGGAACTGTCATGGTTGCAGCTCATGTGCTCTTTCTGTCTTTTTTGTTATTGTCACGTTGGTGGTTTTTGTCTCCCCATGTGTCCTGTTGCTTATGTATGTTGATCATATGATCTTGGATCAGTTGTTCTAATCAGCAGCTGCAGCTGTGCATACACAGCAACTCCTATATTAAGAGCTGGATCAAGCTCTTTATTGTCATTTTGTCACTTATGTGTTCATGTTGTCTCTGGCTGTTTCTCAGTTCCAAGAACGCAGAGAACAGACTTGCATTCTTGTAAAGACCAGTCATGTCAGGTGTCCTCAGAAGAACGAACTCGGGAGACTGCGAGAACAGAGAACACGGCCTGTGAGAAATGACATGCAGCGTTCTTACCTGTTTTTTTTATATGGTTTTATGGTTTAATTATAAACCTAAATAAAATGCTGCGCTTCCCACTTCCAGAGGCAATGATTTTTGGGACTTTTCTGGGAAGTTTCACGGGTCCTCTGTTCTTGCGGTCTTCAGTAGTGGAACTGAAATTTGGCAGCTGATGATGACGTTACATGAGAACACAAGGATGCACATGCTGAAGAATGCATATTGGGAAACAGCTTCTGTGTCTCGCCAGGACCCTCGTCAGCTTGTTTGGACTTCCTAAGCTGTGCTGTGTCTGCATTGTTTCCGGTGCTGGTAGCACCTTTGATCTTTACCTTGTTTATTTAAGTAACTGTTTTTAAATCACTTGCAATTGGATCCATCAGACTTTGTCTATTATTCTTTGATTGTGACATGGGTATTTGGTAAAACAATTTCAATCAACAAATTACTGTGTGTGCGTGTGTCCCCTATTTGATTTTCTGGTGGTTCTGCAGTTTGTATGATTTCATCACAAATATAAGAGGGGCATTTTTTGTCTCACAAATGTATTCTCATCTTTGTGTGTGTCTGTGTGTACACATGAGCGTACAATCAACAAATTTCTCTGTGTGTGCCAGTGTCCCAAATTAATTTTTGTGGTGGTAATGCATTTTGTATCATTTTTATTTGACAAATCATAAAAGAACATTTTTTTTTTGTCTCATTGGAATAAATGTATTCCACTCTGTCTCATGGTGGGATCTTCAGAGACCCCGAGGACCATGTAATTTTATTTAACACTAACACAAACACTTTTTTTGTAGATTTTGACCAATGTACCAAGTTTTATGGCATTTGAACCAAAAGAACAGTTTTTAAAATTTTTGCAAACATCATTTGTGGGTCAAAAGACCCAAAGCACCGCATGAGAGTTAAAAGTACTTTTTGCAATTTGATTCTTTTCTCATTTACCACAATAGCATATAACAAATATCCATTCTAAAAAATAATAATGATCACATCTCATTCCTTTTAGTGGGTAATTTCTCACCCAAATAAGGTGTTTTATTAAATTGTGATTAGTTTGTTCCCACATTGTACAATTAAATTAAACATTTTAATCGATTGACAGCCCTAGAAATCGTCTTACAATAATAATTTAATGAATATGTTCTTTTTTATGATTCAAACATATACAGAAAATGTATGTTCTTTCCCCACCATATTCTACAGATATGTGGTAAAAGTAAAGAAAAATAAGTACTTGTATTCTGGTTTATTAGTTACTGGTTGCCACAGCAGAATGAACCACCAGTTACACGGATACCCTTCCAGTCACACGAAAATAATTAAATTATTCACATTCCAATAATTAAACTATTAAAACACTATTACAAATAAAAACACTATTAAAAGTGTAATTAATATACAAAGCAGCATTTTTAACAATATACAGTAAATAAAAAATACTAAATTTCAAACCAATAGTCTATGCAGCTTATGTAAGCAAATCTGAATATAAACATTAAAATTTATTATCTTTTTTTATTTACTTTTTGTAATAGTTTAAAAGTAAGGGACTATTTTCAAAATGTGTAATCAGTGTTTTTTAAATTTTATAGAAAGTTTGAATGGATACTGTTTTATTTTTTTTTAACATTTTTTCAAGTTTTAAATATAAAATCAAATCACAAAGCCACATTAACATTCACATTTCCTTTCCAACAGTTACAACTTTTAGCAGGAGTAAGACATATGAATAAGCTCAGCTTTATAGCTTTTTCATTGATAACATCTATCACCAACATTTGGAAGTTTATATTTAAAAATGTTCAGTGCAAAATCTTAAATTAAATATGATTGAGACATGCACAGCCTCATCCCATAACAAGTCAATTTTTACTGCATCAACATCAAACCTAAATCTACGTTTCTTTCATTTTTACAATTGAAGTAGTTAACAGACATAATAATTTTGTAAAGAGCTGAAATTTGACCTTTGGGGGTTACAGGGATCTGCACATTTGTGAGGTGGGAGGTAGATTAGGAAAAGTGGAACTTTGAGACTAGGTTGAACTTGACAGTAACGGAACTGGTTAGACTGAAACAGATAGTATTATCTTTAAAAATCACTATACTTAGTTTACTTATTGAGATGCCATTGTGCATAGTCTATTTTATTAGCTGGGAATTCGAGTATTGTTACTGAAATGACTTATCATCGAAAAGTCCTTAAGCTTGTAAGTTTGACTAAATTTATACCATATTTTAAATGTTTTTTTTTTTTTTTTTTTTTTTACTTACAACTAAGATCGAAATATACTTAAAGGTGCTGTTTTTTATTGTTACTTTTTGATTTACCAAAAGTAAATTTATAATTTACATTTCACAATGTATCCTGCATAGTATATCCTAAGAATTGATATTGTATCACCAGTGAAAGGCAGTAATGTTTAATGGATCATTTAATTAGTTAAATGTGAGTAATTTGTTAAAATATTTGTAATTATATATTGAATTATAATATATAACTAATTTGTATTTCTAAATATTATGCAATTTAAATAAATTAAAAGAACACAAACTTTTGCAATATTCCTGTAGGTATGTTGATTTATTTCTCAGTATGAATGTAATTTTTCCCCATCATATGTTGTTTTGTATTTTGTTCAGGTTTAAAAATGATAATATGACATTTAGGGACAAATATGCAGAATAATAAACCAAAGGTTGATGCTAAAATAGCAAAAATCTCAACAGCTACAGTGTATTTCCCAGGAGAACTGACATAAGCTGGGATAAATGTGACCCATACAGCACAAAATATGAGCATACTGAATGTGATGAATTTGGCTTCATTGAAGTTATCAGGCAGCGTACGAGCCAAAAAAGCCAAAATGAAGCACAAGGCAGCCAGTAGACCTATATAACCCAAAACAGCCCAGAAACCTATAACTGAGCCCAGACTACACTCAAGAATGATCTTTTCCTTATAATATTTCATATTTTTGTAAGGAAATGGAGAAGACATTGTTAGCCAAAGCACACATATGAGTACCTGTATAAGTGTAAAGGCAAGAACACTGAGTCGTTGTTGTACAGGACCAAACCATTTCATCACATTACTTCCTGGAAGTGTAGCCTTGAAAGCCATTAACACCACTATTGTTTTCCCGAGAACACAGGAGATACAGAGGACAAAGGTGATCCCAAACGCTGTATGACGCAACATACAAGACCACTCAGTTGGCCGACCAATGAAGGTAAGTGAACAGAGGAAACACAGAGTCAGTGATAAGAGCAGCAGGAAGCTCAACTCTGAGTTATTGGCTTTAACTATTGGAGTGTCTTTCTTGCTGTAAAATAGGATAGCCACCAGCACAGTTAATCCTACTCCAAACAGTGAGAAAAAGACAAGAACTATACCCATAAAATCTGTGAATGACAGGAACTCTACAGCTTTTAACACACATTTGTTTTTCTCGACATTAGACCAGTATTCCCCTTGACACTGCTTGCAGTTAACTGAATCTGTAAAGGAATTTGTAATCAATATATTTAGAGACCAAAAAAGTCAATTATTTACTTCTTTGAAAAGAAACTGCATCTTTAACAGTAAAATCAGGAAACAAAAAGAACAGCTTACCAGTTTTCTTTGAAGTGTTGAGATGAACTGAAGCTTACCCGTTTCATTACTGATTTCTCCTTCTGCACATGGAATGCAGTCATAACAGCAGACAGGTCTTCCTTTCTGTGAAGCCTTCCTGGTACCTGGAGGACAGCTCTCACTGCACACAGACCTCGGTCTCTATATATATAAATACAGATTACATACTATTTATATATATATATATATATATATATAAATATATATATATATATATATATATATATATATATATATATATATATATATATATGTATGTATGTATATACACACACAAACACACACATATATATACACACTTTCTGATGTGCTCTAGCAATTAAAAGAAAATAACTTATTTATTGACATTTACCTCAAGTTGCCCTCCAGACCAAATTATATTTTTAGTGTTAAGCATAAAGCTTTGGTCAGGTGGCAGTGAGGCATCAAAGTAACCCACTTTTTTAAACTGGAACGATCCATCGGAGTCTTGCTGCCAGTTGACAACTTCATAGTGGGCTACTGCCCCTCCAGTACTGTCAAACCAGACACGATCTCCAAATTTTAAGGTAAAATTCACGTTTTTCAGAGCTTCAACCACCTATCGAAAATAAATAAACAAAATCAACAATCCAAAGACAAAATAAGTAAACATAAAAAAGTACATTACCATGAAGCATGGTTTCCTTTACCTGCTGTGGTTGCATTGTCAAGCTTTTCTCACAACCTTCGTTTTCTTTGCACTTTAATAGATTATGCAGTGAATGAGCCACAGCATACACTGCTTTGTAGACATTGCTTGCATATCTTTGTTCAGGTATATCTTCATTGTAGTGTTTTAGAGTAAATAGATCCTGATAACTGCTGCAAGTTAATGCATACTGAGAATAATTCCCCTCATTCGTTAAACATGGAAAATCTCTTTCCCAAAATGTTTTTATAACATAATCTGCAAATCCTTCAATAATGATTTTTCTAAATGCAAATCCCAGTGACCCTCCCAGCACATGAAAACTCTTTGAGTTGATCAGACTCTTTGTAGTTATCCATCCCTCCCCTCCGATCACTTGGAAGCCTGTAATATTCTGAATGCTAAGCTGATCAATAAGTAAGCCCATCTCAACAAGTGAAACAAAAGCAACAATAACTTTTGCTGTGCTTTTTTTAATAGTCTCTACAACTTTTTTAAGTTTTTCTGGCTCTGTTCGATAAAATTTCACAGAATACTCAACACAAATCCCCTCTTTCTGAGCTGTATTTAGAAAAATAGCCATAACATTGTTGCCATAATCATTGTCACTGTTCACAGTTCCAACCCAAGACCAGCCAAAGTGCTTGACTATGAAAGCAAGTGCTCTGCCTTGGTGGTAATCACTAGCAATAGTCCTGAAGAATGATGGATATATTTTTCTGTTGCTCAGGCATTCACATGAGGCTGAGTGACTTATCTGGGAGGAAGAAAAGTGTATGAATGGAGTTGGGTTACTCAGATGTATTTGTTCCTCATTTTATTATTACTTACCACTGGAATTTTAAAAGGTCCCGTAGTTTTTGACAGAATGATTGTGGCAGAAGACTCTGTTTCTCCTATAATAGCATGTATAGGTGATTCTCCATTACAAATTTTATCTGCTGTAAACTCTGGTCCATTCATCAATGCCATAGTTGCACTCATAGCAGACATTCTTGAACCACAGGTGTCATAAATCCGGTATCCAATAGAAACATTTGGAAGCAAACTTTTACTTCTGTTAATCTCTTCAATTGCAAAAATCATAATTTGAGTCATCCGGAAATCCCTTAAATTCACACTGTGAAAACAAGATTGCAAAATTAGATATTAGTTGCTAAAAAATAAACATTAGTTGCATTAATTGAAAAAAAAAAAAAAAAAAAAAAAAAAAAAATATATATATATATATATATATATATATATATATATATATATATATATATATATATATATATATAATAAAAAGTCTGTAATATTATATATATATATAATAGTCACTCATATTTACAATATCTTATTTTACATTATTATCTTGTTTTTAATGTAACAAACCTGGAGCATGACAGAAGCTGAGGTTTTTGTGTAAACTGAAAGGAAGGTAAAGTTTCTTTACTGAGAATTGCAAAAAGTGCTCCAATGGTTATGTCCCCATCCTTGGAAAATAGTGGGTACTTGGGGTCTCCCATCATTTGGCAAAGACCATTTCCAGCTTTTGTACGAATTAGAGTGAAATGTAGGAATATATAAAGGAAAAGAAGCATCACAAAGATTGAGCTGAACTTTGACTGACAAATGTAAATGGCTTGATACACTATTTGCATTAATATACGCATACTATAATGAGTATGGGTAAATAATTATGAAATGTAGCCAATAACTTCATAGGGCAGGGCATGAATTAAGTCAGTCACATTATGTGACACCTGGTGGCTTGAACGGGCATTTCATTATTTATTATTTAATTTTCCTTCAGCTTAGTCCAAGGGTGTAGGTTTGCGCTTGACATTGGTGGGAACTGGGGACGAGTCACCCCCGCCAAGAATGAATACTGTTTATATATATATATATATATATATATATATATATATATATATATATATATATATATATATATTGCTATTTATTATTTAACTGCTATTAAAATGTATTATTAAGTAATCCTCTCTTCTTACAATTTAATAAGTTAAATTAAATAGACATGCGTGTAGCCAAGGGGGGTCAGGTGGTTTTAAAGACCAAAAGTTGGATTATTATTATTATGTTTGAATTTATCTTATTATTCAAATGGACAAATTTTTACTGAGGAAGGTTGAATGCGCCGGCCAGTTTGTTATTTGCCTATAGGCTTCAGTTTTTAATTTAAATCAAGTTTAAACAGATTTCCCAAAAAAATTATAATAAAAAAATTGTATTTTAAAAATAAGTATATTTACATATTTGAAGAGTTTAGATGCACAAACCTCTAAATGCCATTTAATATTTTCTTCTAAATTGAGCATTTTTCTCCAACTACTGTGTGTGGACTGTGTGTGTGATTTTACTTTTATAGTGACAAATACGTTCTTTTCATTGCCTTTAAAGTGAAATAACTGAACATAAATATACAAGGCTGAGGAAAATGCACATTTTACATGGCATTTAGAGGTTTTGGCATCTGTACTGTAGTTCATTTCTTTTTTCTAAGAATTTAAAGTCCCAATTTCTACTTTAAAGTATTTTTATTATTTATAAAACTGTAATAAAACTTACAGTTTAAATGTGTAAATGAAGCAATTTGACAAAACGGTAGGAAATAGTTTTGGTACATCAAAAAGTGTAGTTGTAATAACTATCCAAAAAGATTATCCAGCAAAAATTAGTTCTTAATATGTCATTAAAATGTATAATTTATACCTCAATTAAACAGAAAATCAGGTGAATAACTGCAAAAAGATTCAGTTTTTCAGAAAACAAATAACCCCTTTTAATAAGCTGGCTACAGGCCTGAAAGTGTTATGTTAAAATAATGTTTATTAACTGATAAAGAGAGAGTTTAATAAAGGCTTTACTTCATTTTTCGTACAAATTAAACATGCCTCATAGTATTATTAAAAAATAAAGCACAGGCTGTAGTTTTTCTGACAAATTGTTTCAACCAAAATTGGAGATGTTACTCTAAGAGATTAGGAGAACTGGCAGGGTCATATATGTTTACATATAGGTGTTTATTCTGCAGTTAGTTTTCAGGGAATATTGTTCACAGACTAGTCTGCTTTAACGTTAGACTGAACGTAAAAGCAGTGAAAACACTAGCATAACGGCGTTATCATGATGGACTCATTCAGTAGCGAACTTGAGTTTATGTGACTTACACTTTTCGTTGGAAAAAGCTCTTTATGTCCACCTCTTCTTGCTACACGTCCCCACCGTCCACCCTAAATCTACGCCCCTGGCTTAGTCCTTTATTTATCAGGGGCCACCACACAGAGGAATAAACCACCGGCATTTTGGTATTATTAAAGAAAATTTAAATCACATTATGTACCCACAGGCAATGATAGATTTACCAGTCCATGAAAACCACTATTTTCTGTTTCAAACTTCCCCATAGGATCTTTGGGTTATAATAAAATTAAAAGATCAAATCCTGACTTTGATATTTAGATTTATTATAAAAACAATTATTTTCCCTATTTTTTTCTCCAAAGTGCAATCAAATTATTTAATCAATATAAAAATACTTTTTCATTTTGAAACTGCTGAAGACACAAAAAAATAAGTTGATCCACAAATATGGCACCCTCTGTACTTACTAATCCTAATCTTATACAGGACTAAAAATACATTTATTAAGACATGGTTTTCGTTTAGGTTCATTTAGTTAGCTAGGCTGTTTTAACAAAACATTATTGGTAAAAATAAAAACACATATTATTCATATTATAAATGTAAGTAAAGTAAGATTCACTTATTATAGTATGGATTTTATATTTTTTGGGTGATATTTGGTATTTGTTTGTGGCCTCCCTATTCTCCTGTTTATTGCGGAAGTCAAACTCGGGAGGCGAGGGTAAACTTTATATTAGTCAGAACACCATATAATCATGCATTCTTAATTGTTTTTCCCTCTTGTAAAATGGTAAAATTAGTTTTTACTGTTGATCATCAGTTGGCACCATTAACCCTTTAGATGTTCTATAGAATAAATCAGCAAATTATGGTGTGCATGCATAAATATACTTACTATGTTCTGAGAGCTGAGGTGCTAATTTAGATTTTCTCAGACATATCAAGGTAAATGTGCGAAGGTCTCTCTTAGGGTGCTGTCATATCTGTAGTTCGGTTCATTTGGTCTGGACCAAGGGCAACAAATGATACATTGAAGCATTTTTTGCCATCTTTGGATTGTTTTTACACCACACTGATTGCTTTGGTTTGAACCAGTTGAAAAGAACCAAAATGCAGTAATGTGAAAAAATCCATATCACTCATTGGCCAGATGTTATTGAACGTATTTCCTAAACTGCTAATCGATTTGTCAGAATTTACAAGTGGGTAAATGCCAATGGAACTCCCGTAAGTAAACAAACCGGCAGACACAAAATGGAAGTTATGAAAGTTACAAAGTTATGAACAGTGTTGGGAGTAATACGTTACAAAAGTAATGTATTACAGTAATGTATTACATTTTCCTGTAACACAGTAGTGTAAGGCATTACTAAAACATTTTCAGTAATATTTTACTCGGTACATGTTCAGTAACGCATGCTTTACAACACACTTTTTGCCCGCTAGACATTAACAAATAAAAAATAACGCAGTTCTACTTCCTGTTCGTGGCTAGAGAATATATGTGCGTGCTATCATTAATCTCCCTCTGGCTATGGGACCTTTTTACTTTGAACGTGGAATGATTTCAGCTTCTGAGCTCAAGGTCCGGGGCTATTGGCTCAGCCCGGTTCGCAGTACGCGCAGCGGAAAATAGATGAAAATGGCATAAGACAGTGCATTCGCGAGACGGACGTAAGTGCATATGGCGTTATTTCACTGACAAATGTCGAAAGCTCATTCATGTAATACGAGCGAGTGAACATGCCGGTTTCCTCTGTGGACAAAACTCCTCGCGTTCACTCAACACTGGCTGGGCTGCTCACGTGCTAACGACCTGCTCTTGCTCTGTCAGATGATGCAGACTCACAGTCTGTGCCTTGTGTGTTCTTTTTTTTTGTTCTGTTGCTCTCCAGAGATCCTTCTATTTAATTGTTATCCCAAGAATTTTTATACGGTTTATATATTGCTACACTATTTACTTACAGGTTAAGATAATTCTATAATAAATACTAGTGTTTTTGAGTGTAAGGTATACTGCCTATGTTTTAGGCTAGCATTTACAATGAATGCTTAAGCATACTGTCGTATTAAGAATAGTGAACTCATAAAATTAAATATAAAGTGTAGTTTTACTACAGTAAAGTGTCGTATATTGTAGTACAATCTACCCCATATTGTAAAAAAAACTACAGCACTGGATCATTTGTTTATATTACACTTGTTGTGTTACCATAGCAACTATAGTATTACCACAACAGAGTAATTAAAGTACTTAATGACAATATGTGTGTTCAGGGGCCCTGTGGAACAGGTTCTTCTCAAAATGAAGATGATGGCAGGGAAACTGTCCTCCACAATCTCATCAACAATGTGGAAGACAACAGATACTAGTTCACTTTATTTTAGTTGCCATAAAAAAATGTGATTGATAATGAGATTTATTTGAAGAGTGAATAGTACAGTAGGCTATAATACCTTATCAAGTGTTTCTATTAATTACATTTCTGACTGCGTTAGTTTTTATTTTTGTCTAAATTCTTTTTATTTGAAATATCTCATCATATAACATACAGCCAACAATGTTATGGTTTATTAGATAAAAAATTATAAGTCTATTTTAGTATTTTGGTTATTGTTAATAAATAGTGTACTAATACGATTGATATCAAAAAGCTTGAAAGGAAGAGGGAACACAAGACACAAATTGTGAGTTTGCATATAATCTCACTGAGAGAGCAGTGTACTGAGAGCAAGAAAACTTGTGCGTGAGCAGTGCATATTTGAGAGATCGTGAGAATTTGTGCGCGAGCAGCGTATGTGAGAGCTCGCAAGCAGTTTTGTCTGAGAAAGCTGTCCATCATGCTCACTTTGTGCTGGACGGTTTTGTGTTGTAAACCACTTGAATGGAAAGTAAATACAATAATGGCAACAATAAGAAAAGAAACAAAATCTGCATTTTGTCATGGCATTGGAGTTTACATATCAGCCTATTGTGTCTAGTATTAATATAACCAAGCCATTCACAGATATTGCCAGATAATCACTTTACCTCTACCATACTTTAAACAGATCATTTGTAATTCTGGCTGTCATCCTTTCTTGCATTGTCTTAAAACATCACATTGCCAATTATATACTATATTGTTAGTAACCTGGAGAGGTCACAGTCATTCTGCTACATCAAATCACTTTCTAATCTATGTAAAATGCTCATTATAGAACATTATAATGAATTTTATAATGTTAAGTTCTAATTCTGTAGTTATTTTGGTGAAAGTAACTAAAAAGTAATATAAGAGTAATGTAACATATTACAATTCTGAGACAGTAATATTGTAAGGTAAGGGATTACAGTTAAGTACAGATTACATATTAAATAACAGTAATAAGTAATCTGTAATGTATTACAGTTTGGAAGTAACTTGCACAACACTGGTTATGAAACTATGGA